AATTTGTTCTATGAATCAGTAAAGGGGTCAGTTTTAGTGCTTAGGAATTTGGGGTGCCTTTTATGGGGCAAAATGGGAGGGAGTCTAGGGTCAGTGTTCAGTTTCTGGGATTTATCTTACTGGACCTAATGGAGGGCCTGGGGTCAGTGGTTGGTATCTGAAGGATTTGTTGACAGAAGGATGAATGCTTCAGCCTCTTCCCAGAGACCGCTTTTCCAGGTCTGATGAACACATCTTCCTCAGGATTTGTTTTATCACCAGGAAAGAATGTATTGGGAAAGGATCAATGCTCTCAATGGATGGCTTTTCTTCTCACTTCCCTTTTTCCAGGTCTCACTACTTTTGGGGTTTGTCATTTTCCATATCTAATATGCTAGGCAAGCACTCTACCACTGAGTTATATCATCAGCTTTTTTTTTTATTTCTTAGTCAATTTAGATCAGCATTTGTCCATTTTTTTCTTTCCAAAGAACCAACTTTTTTGTTTTATTATTTTTCTTGACCTTTTTTTCCTATTCATCTTCTCTCCGTGTGTGTGTGTGTGTGTGTGTGTGTGTGTGTGTGTGTGTGTGTCTTGCTTAGGGTTAAATCCAGGACCTTATACACACTAGGCAGGTGCTCTTTCACTGAATTACATCCCTAGCCCTCCCCTTCAATCTCAGTCATTTCCTTCTTTAACCTTTCTCTTTCTAGAGCCTTATTGGGTACAGTTTTGTTATTTATTTGAGATTTTTTTTAAGATGTAAGTATTTACAGCTATTAATTTTCCCCTGAGCCCTGACTTTGCTATGTCCCATAATTTTTGCTATTTGTTTTCATTTTTATTCATTTCACAATAATTTCTAATTTCTCTGGTAATTTTTTCTTTGACCAATTAAGTTGACAGGATTTGTTGTTGTTTTGTCTTGTTTTCTTTAAGCACTTTAAAGATTTGATTACACTGCTTTTTGGCCTTAATTTTTCTCAGGAAAAAATGGACTCTTATTTGTGATTTTCGTCTTCTGTGAATGTCTTTTTTTTCCTCTTTATCTGCTCTTTATTTTTGCTCTTTAGTTATTTGATTAAATAGGCTCAAGTATGCTAGGCACAGTGGTGCATGCTTGTGATCCCAGTATATCAGGAGGCTGAGACAGGAGGATTGCAAGTTCAAAGCCAGCTCAGCAACTTAGTGAGGTTCTAAGCAACTTAGTGAGACCCTGTCTCTAAATAAAATGTAAAAAGGGGCTGGAGGTGTGACTCAGAGGTTAAGTGCACCTGGGTTCAACCTCTGGTTCCTACCCCAAAAAGAAGAAAGTAAAAGCTCAAGTATAGTTTCCTTTATATTTATCCTACCTGGAATGTGCTGAACTACTTGGGTTGACAGATTGGTATCTTATATGAGTTTTAAGAAGTTTCTAGTAATTATCAAATATTTGTTTTACACATTTCTTTGTCTTCTGGAACTCCTTTTACATGCATTTTAAATCATTTGATAATGGCCCACAGAGCTTGAACTTCCAGTTTCTTTCTCCACCCCTTCTTTTTTTTTTTTTTTTTTTTTTTTAAGAGAGAGTGAGAGGAGAGAGGGGAGAGAGAGAGAGAGAGAATTTCCAACATTTATTTTTTAGTTCTCGGCGGACACAACATCATTGTTGGTATGTGGTGCTGAGGATCGAACCCGGGCCGCACGCATGCCAGGCGAGCGCGCTACCGCTTGAGCCACATCCCCAGCCCCTCTCCACCCCTTCTTTATGTTTTAATTTGGATATTTTTTTTTGTTGTACTTGACTTCACATTCAGTGACCTTTTCCATTGTTGTGTCCAGTTGCCATTAAACCCAGCTAATGAATTTTTAAATTCTGACATCTTATATTTCATTTTTGGCATTTCTATTTAGTTCTTTTTTATGGTGCCATGTCTCTACTGATATTACCCTTTGTGTGTGTGTGTGTGTGTGTGTGTGTGTGTGTGTATTGTCCATCTTTTTCCATTAGGTCTGTCACCATGTAGGGATCCAGGGAAGTCTTCAGAGACCCAGGAGACATCTATTGGAAACTTTCAGGTTTTGACTCCATCACAGAATAGTGTAGCCCACATCCTATGTGGGCTACATATCCAGGGTCATTCGGGTGAATTGGGTGGCATGAAGGAATCACACAGACACAGAAAATACCTTTTTTGGGGTGTTTTCAGGACAGCTCCTCTGCCTCAGCTTTAAGCTCTCACAAGGGGGGCAAGAGAAAAATATGGGAGGTAGTCGAGAAAGAGGGAGCATGTCCTGAATCCTGGTTTTTATTGAAGACAGCCATTGGATAGAGCATTCCATCCAACAAAGATAAAAAAGAACAAGAAGGCAGCCCACTCCCATTGGGTAATGCCCACTCCCAGAGCTTCACTCCCCTGCTGGGTGTAGGTGAAGTCCACCTGCTTTTGTGTACAACAGAAGCAGGTCCCACATCCCCATTGCTCAAGCCTGAGGGTGCCCTGCTCTTATGTGGCAGCTCCTGACAGAAAAGAATTTAAGGACAAGTCAGGTCTTCATAGCAAAGAAGGAAGTTTATTATAGAAAGTCAAAGTTTGTATTTTCAGGGCAGAATGTCAGTAATCTCATAAACAAGAAACCAGGACTTAAGGTCAAGCTTTTATTAGGTTACATAATTAGATAGACTATATTATTCAAAAGGACTGGTCTGCCAGGCATAGTGGCACACACCTGTAATCCCAGCAGTCAGGAAGCTGAGGTAGGAGGATCACAAGTTTAAAGCCAGCCTCAGCAAAAGCAATGCACTAAGTTACTCAGTGAGACCCTGTCTTTAAATAAAATTCAAAATAGGGCTGGGGATGGGACCCAGTGGTGGAGTACCCCTGAGTTCAATCCCCAGTACCAAAACAAAACAGAAAGACTGGTCTTCTTTCATGGATGGAATTGAGGAAAATCATGTTTCCACTTAGGGGATCTGGTCTGGTAAGTTTCAGCCTATATTAATGATTCTGGGAGGTTAGGTAGTCAGGTGACTGTGATAGAGTGTCATGGTCCAATCAAATGTTAGCTCCTGATTTCTTTCTATTGAGGTCTTTTTTCTGTTTTGTCAAATTCCAGAAAACTTAAGGAAACTGGAAAGTTACAAAATAATTTATGGGCTGTTCATTGAATCATTATATTCTTTTTTTCTGTCTCTTAGACTCCTTTGTCTGACTCAAGAGTTGATTACAAATTATTTGTTCTACAGTTTAACAGGGATATTTTTCCTTTAGAGATTTAGTGTTCTCTCTGTATCCCCAAATTTCTATCTCAGGTCTATTAGCATTTTAATCATGGTTTTGTCAACAAAAATTCAATAGGAAAGAATTTCAGACAAAAATGGAAGCTTTATTTCAATAAGCAGATTCCTCACCAGGGAGACACAGCCTTCCTTACAAAAGGAAACTGTCCCAAAGGAGCAAAGAGAGGGACTGGCTAATATACATAAAGTTCCAGACCAGGTACCCTCTAAAGACTGTTATGCAAATGAAGGATACAAGCATGCTCATTCCTAATTGGTTGATATTTAATTTTGACTGCAAATAATAGTTCATTGCTCAGGTCTCCGGGATGAAATAGGACTTTTCAGACTGTTTATCTTGGCAGCTGAACAGGAACACGCCTGGACAAAGGCCCAAAGTTCAGTTTGTGGTTCTTCCAGGAACACAAAGTTTGAATATGATTTCCAGTCAGCAAATGGCTACCAGATTCTGCAATTTAGGCACACATTTAGCTACCTAGGACCTTTCTTGGAGAATGAGCTTTTCTTAAAATTAACAGTTATTTTAAATGACCCTTTCTGATAATTCAGGTTGTCTGACTACTCTGTGTCTACTTACGTTGACTCTTTTCTCTCTTGATCATGAATCACTTTTTTTTCCTTTTTATGTATCTTGTTATTTTTTATTATATACCAGACATTTTATATGAAAGAAGAGTAAAGATTGGAATATATTTTCTTTATCTCCAGAGAGGGATATGCCAGTTCTTCTTTTTAAAGACTGCTAGAATGGGACATAAGTCAGGCTAATCTGTAGTTGATCTGTGTTTGGGCTGTGTTGTAGCCTTGGTTTTATCCATTCTTACCAGTGGCTTCAAATGTTTTGAGGCAGGGCAGGTCTTTCATTAGTGACCCATATTTAAGAACTGAAGATTTCAGCTATGCTGCATTCAGCTGCATCCCTACCTCTCAGAACTATGAGAAATCTATGTTTTAAAACCAATTGGTAGGTCCTTGGGTCCCTAAGAGATTCTCTTTGCTCTGGTATCCCACTCAGGCTTTCTGCAGTTTGAAAGAGATCAGCTTTTCATCTCCTCCCCTGACCTTTGGAGTGAAGCCACCCTATGTGGTATAGTCTTGGCATGCCTCTCAGGTGTTTCTTTCAGATCTCCTGTCCAGATCCCAAACTTTAATAGTTGAAAGCTCAAATTGCCTCAAGCAGGTTTGCTCAGCAGTCCTCCTCTTCTTCTGGCTCCCCCACACACCCCCACCTCTGGTGATTGAACCCAGAGCATTTTGAATGCAAGGCAAGCATTCTACCACTGAGCTACACCCCCACCTCCTGCTTTCAGCTTTTGATAATTGATCCTGGGCCATCCTTAAAAGTTTGCAAAAGAGGTATGGAAATTAAAAACTAAAAAAAAAAAAAAAAAAAAAAAAAAAAAAAAAAAAAGAAAGAAAGAAAAAAGAAAAGAAAGAAAAAGAAAAAGCATTCCAACTCCTTCTGCAGCTGGATTTTTTAAGATTCTAATTTGCCATGCCAGCCTACATGTACCTGTTAATACAATTAGTGGTTTCTCTTTATAATCTCTGTGTGTATTTGTTTCTATTTCCTCCTGTTACACATTGGATGAATGCAGCTGTGGGTCTCTGCTGTTTGAGAGCTCATCACTTTCTGAAATTGGTTCATTTAGATCTCTGTTCTCTCAGCTCTTTGATTTAGTTTTTTATTTTTAATACAATGATTTTGTAATTTATTTGGCTTATTTAGGTTCTTAGGGTGAGAGAAAAGATCTATTTCAATGAACAAATGAGAAGCAAACTAAAAGTGTGTCCCTCTGTATTGTTTTTCAGATTAATATATTTTGGTGGTTATGGGTGCAGGAGACACAATGAACTTCAAGACTGTTTTGATGTTCATGATGCATCTTGGGTAAGAAAGTAATCACTCTTTACATTTGCTTTTAATTTAGCATAGCCTGTAAGTCTTAGAAATAATGAACCTAATCTTTCTCATTTTAGGAGCTACCAGTTGACACTATGTGAAAAAATGTGTTTTTACTCTTATAGATTTGGATTCAGTCAAGGAAGATCTCTCATATAGTGATAATAACTTTCATTGTTCCTCTCACTAATTTTTCTTTCTTCTTCTTTTTTTTTTCAGTACTAGAGATTGAACCTAGGGATGCTTTACTACTGAGCTACACCCCCAGCCCTTTTTATTTATTATTTTGAGACAGAGTTTCACTAAGTATCCCAAGCTGGCCTCAAACTTGCTATACTCCTGCCTCAGCTTCCCAAATTGCTGAGAACATCAGATGTGTGTCACCATGTACAGCAGAATAATTTTTTTTTCTAATATCATTAATCACTTGTACCTGTTTCTGTTAAATAAATAGATGCTTTAACCCAACTTGGGGGAATTTTGTTTTTTGTTTATGTTTAACCAAAATGGCTATTATTGACAAGCCTCCTATTGGACACATACCAGAATTTTTCATAGCTCAGACTGGTTTCTGCATAAGAATGAACTGGGGGAGGTACATCTGTAATCCTAGCACCTCGGGAGGATGAGGAAGGAAGATCACAAGTTCAAAGCCAGCCTCAGCAATTTAGCAAGGACTTAAACAACTTAGCAAAATCCTGTCTCAAAAGAAAAAATAAAGAGGGCTGAGTATGTAGCCCAATGATAAAGTACCCCTGGGTTCAATCCCCAGTATTGCAAAAGAAATAAAAATTGATCTCACCACCAAAAAATACACAATAACTCTTTTCAGTTTACCTTCTTTTGAATTTTATTATCATTGTACATTTTCAATGTAAATGTATATAGGTATCTTTAATTCTCCATGTTTCTGCATATTTGAATTTTTAAAATGAAATATTTTTAAAACTTTGCTATTCAAAATATTATTAATAATTTTCAAGAATATAATTTACTATTTTTTACACCTAGTTATCTTTACTCATTGGTGAACTCAGTTGTTTTTTCTCCCCTAGTACAGTTAATTTAATGAACATGTCCTGAAGTTTCTGGAGAACAACTAGATCTTTAAATTTGGATTCTAATCTAAGTAAATTGTTTGGTTTATTTGACTTTAATAAGTCCTATCAAAGATACATGAAGCTGGGTTTGGTGGTGCCCACCTGTAATCCTAGCAGTTTGGGAGACTGAGACAGGAGGATTGCAAATTCAAAGCCAGCCTCAGCAATTTATCAAGGCCCTAAGCAACTTAGTGATACACTGTCTCAATATTAAAAAAAAAAAAATTTAAAAGATTAAAAGACGGGCTGAGGTTGTGGCTCAGTGGTAGAGCACTTGCCTAGCATGGGTGAGGCACTAGGTTCGATTCTCAAAACCGCATATAAATTAATAAATAAAGGTCCATCAACAACTAAAAAAAATTAATTTAAAAGAGCTGGAGGATGTTGCTCAGTAGTTAAGCACCACTGGGTTCAATCCCTGGTAACAAAATAACAACAACAAAAAGATAAATAATACAGGTGTAGTACCTTACCCCTGTAATCTCAGCTATTTGGGAGACAGGTAGGAGGCTTGCAAGTTCAAGGCCAGCCTGGTCCATTTAGAAAGACCCTGTTTCAATAAAAAGGGGTGAGGATGTAGTTCAGTGGTAAAGTACTCCTAGATTCAGTCCCCAGGACCATCAATAAGAAGGAAAAAGAAGAAGATAACAAGGACAATAAGCAAAAAGCATAAGTTTGACTCACAAGAATAAATTGCTTGGTGGATTAGAAGTGATTGGAACTTTTTGGAAAAAGTATAGCCCTGTATAACCTGTATAATCTATACAATTTATTATGGCAAGGATTAATTAGGCTTTGAGTATGTTTTTTAAGGAAAATAGGTTCCAAGATGTATAAAATCATTCTGTCCTGTATAAATCCATTCTGTCCAATTATTTTTTTGGTTGGCTTTTGTTATTGTTGTTTTTTTGAGATGGGATCTTACAATGTTACCCAGGCTGGTTTTGAACCCATGAACTGAAGTAATCCTCCTGCCTCAACCTCCCAAAGGTTGAGATCACAAATATGTGCTACTGCCAGCTTGTCCTCAAAATTTTAAAAAAGACAGTTCTTTGAGAAAATGTAAAAATTGTCCACAAATAAAATTATGATTCATTGCAAGCAAGCAATTATATGAGAAGAAAAGTTGTCCAGTGATACTACTACTTGTCTGAACATCATACTTTTTGGGACACTGGTGTGTGCATTAACTTGATGACTCTGATATCACTTAACTCTATTGTTGTAAATGTTTCTTATTTTTATTTTACTAGTAAATATGTTCCAAGCTGTAACAATAATGTAAAAATTATAAAAGCTTTCAGATATTTTTAAAATTTTTGTTTTAGGAAGAACAAATATTCTGGGGATGGCATAATGATGTCCATGTATTTGATACAAAAACACAGACTTGGTTTCAACCAGAAATTAAAGTAAGTGTTGCAAAAAGTATCCTTCATATTCCATATATTCATTGATACATTTTAAATCTTTTAAAAACTCAGTCATTTGGATTTATCAATTTGGTTTATAATCACATACAAAGTAGTTATCTTGAATCTGTCACCAACACCATTTAAAAGAAAATCATATATAGCCAGGTGTGGTGGCATACATCTGTAATCCTGGGAACTCAAGAGGCTGAGGCAGGAGGATCTCAAGTTCCAGGTCAGCTTGGGCAACTCAGTGAGGCCTTGTCTGAAAATTTATAATTTAAAAAAAAATGTGGAACTGAGGATGTAACTCAGAGGCTGAAGGATCATATGTTCAATCCCTAATGTCACCAAAAAGAAAGAGAAAAAAAAAATTTCTCCAGATCAGATAAGATTTTCTAGAAAAAAAATATTTTAAAGAGATGCCATTGTGATTCTTTTTGTTTCTGTCATCATTCTTTACCCACAGGTAACATGCTCTAATTTGATAAAAATTATTTTAAAAAGTCATTGTATTACAAAGCCCATGATTTTAAACACCATTTTTATAAACCCTTAAAATCAGAGCAACATACAATTACAGCATGACAAAAATACATTATCCTTGTTTTTTCATTTGCTAGTAACCAAGCACAAATTTACATTAGTTTAAGCAATTTGGAGTGTCTCACACATCCTACACAGACCAGCACACCAGGAAGTGGAGCACATTTCTCAACACCATCATAATACTTTTCATCTCTCTTTGTCTGCTTTTCCCTTTTTGTGTACTTGTTTCACTACAGCTACTGCAGACCAGCTGGGGCCATTTAGGTGAGAACTGGGCCCTGGCTATGCCAGTAGTTCTTGGTATAATGCTCTCTCATTGCTTGTATATTAGTCATAGAAGAAGACTCTGGTTCTACCTGGTATTGTCCCTACTCTTTATAGGACCCCTATTACCAAGGAGATAACTTGCTGTGTCCACCCCAGGGAGAGCAGGGTATTATGATTGAAAAGCTCAATATCCAAAGCCTTAAACATACTAAGGTGTAATTGAGGCCAAGGCTTTACACATCCTAGGGTGAACAGAAAGGAATGCTAAGCAGGCAAAACTAACATTGTCTATTAGTATGCACAAGTGACTAAAAGTTTTTACAGTCCAACTTCTGTTGGTGAAAATCATGGAAAGTGCTACGTAAAATATTAAGTGTTATAGAATTTGACCTTCTCTGCAATCTCTTTCCAGGCAGTAAATTTCAGGTTTCCAGTGCTTTTCTGTTTTCTTCATTACCTTTCTAATTGTAGAACTAATCAGCTGTCAGTTATTTATAGTTAAAGATTGAATTTTGCTTCACTCAGCATTTGAATTTTAAGATTTGGGTTTTTTATTAATGGAGTAAGAGAGTTTTACCTCTGTTAAGATTTCCTGTCAGCAGGTGGGTGGAGACAAATATTAGTGGGTCTAAGTTTACTGAAACTAATCCTAGATCTCTTTGAGGCCTCTTAACCCTCTATTGCCTTAGAAAATAAGTCAGAACCTGGAGCTTCTGTGATGGGATAATAATAAAAGCTTTGTTTTGCTAGAAGGGCTAGAAACCAAAACTCTCAAATGGTTCTCTTTCATTTACATAAGTGTTATATAAGTGAAATCTGAATTATTTCTTATCAAGTTGAAACAGGTATTCAGGTAATCTTAAAATGAATAGTAAGTTATGATGTTGGATGTATGTAGAGCTTAAATTTTCCATGTCCGCATTTAGTAGCCAGTGAGCTGAAAATGTTCATAATGCATCTTGGGTAAAAATATAATCACTCCTTACATTTGCCTTTAGTTTAGTATAGCCTGTAAGGCTTAGAAATAATGAACCTAATCTTTCTCATTTTAGGACCTACCAATTTGCCAAAACTGACACTATGAAAAAAATGTGTTTTCACTCAATAGATTTGGATTCAGTTGGAGGAGGGTCTCTCATCTAGTGGTAATTGCTTTCATGAGTTGCAGGATAATTTCTTTTCTTACATCATTAATAACTGATACTTGATTCTTTTAAATAACTAGAAGCTTAGCACAACTTGGGGAAATTCATAAACACATAGAATTATTCAAATGATTCTTCCTTCAGATTTCTCTCCCTCCCTTTCTTCCTTCTGTATGACTACCTTTCTTACTTTTTTAAAAATATACATTTTTTAGTTGTTGATGTACCTTTATTTTTTATTTATTTATATGTGGTGCTGAGGTTCAAACCCAGTGCCTCACACATGCTAGGCAAGCGCTCTGCCACTGAGCCACACCTGAGCCCTACCTTTCTGTCTTTCATACTGAAAATTGAGCCCAAAGCCTTACACATGCTAAGAACAGGCTCTACCCCAAACTACATCCCCAGCTCCTTTTCCTTAAAATCTTAATCATTTATCTACCCATTCTCTCCTTTACCATCAATTAAGAACTTTTCTAAAGAAAAGATCTATTATTTTTTCAAAGTAAAATGTAGAGAAGAGTTATTTAGTGTTAAGAGTTTTAGGAAGCAATAAAGTACTGTTTGACAAGGCAATAGTGAAATTCTTGTGAATTTGAGGAGTTTGGAGATCATATTTAATTTTTTAGGCTCTGAGATCACCCACTATACAGTGCTCACTTCAAATTTTAACTGTGTGTGTGTGTGTGTGTGTGTGAGAGAGAGAGAGAGAGAGAGAGAGAGAGAGAGAGAGAGAATATGTGACAGAATTTTTAATTTGATTTTTTTATGGTCTTATGTTTTGATCCAAAATTTATGTGAATTTTATTTTGTTTAATAATATCTGACATTTTAGAAGAGCACATTAAAATCAGGAAGAGTAAATTTTATTCTTAAAGAATTGTATTTGCCTATATTATTGTTTAGAATGAACTTCTGTATAGGGTTTTTAATTGAATTACATAGGTATGGATAGCTTACTGATCAGGTGTGTCTCATACTAAGCATTGGAATGTGACTATATTACAGATGATTTAAGTCTTTGTACTCTTCTAATCTCTGCTTACAGGGTGGAGTTCCACCACAGCCACGAGCCGCGCATACGTGTGCAGTTCTTGGAAATAAGGGTTATATCTTTGGCGGACGTGTTTTGGTTAGTGTTTTTAATGGAAATGGTATTTTTATGTGTGGTGCTTGTTATAAAAATTAGCCACTGATTTTGTGGAACAGTGGAATATTCAGATAATCTAGAGACTAAAATAACATTTAATAACTTTTATTTATCTTTTATTTTCAAAACAGGCCATATACAAGCAATCACAGATGATTATAAATCATATTTTAATGAGGAAAATCCTTCACTTCAGTCCAGTTTCAGAAAAGTTTAATTTTTTATAATTTAAACCCTGTTAGTTTAAACCCATTTCTTCCTTTGCCCTTTGACACATTAATTTGGGAGCTCAATATTAATTTTATTAATGCTTTGCATTATTTCCCAATATTTAAATTTTTGATGTTGAGTAGGACAGATATAGTCTATTTTTAATCTAAAACTAACATTTTAAGCCGGTCGTGGTGGTGCACGCCTGTAATCCCAGTGGCTCGGGAGGCTGAGGCAGGAGGGATTCACAAGTTCAAAGTCATCCTCAGCAACTTATCAAGACCTTGTCTCAAAGGAACAAATAAAAAAGGGATGGGGCTGTGTCTCAGTGGTTAAGCACCCCTGAGTTCTATCCCTCATACAAAAAGCAACAATTAATATTTTAGACCATAAAAGATATAAAACACTGTCCAATTTAACACTTTTATTTTAGCAAACTAGGATGAATGACTTGCACTCTCTAAACTTAGACACCTGGACTTGGTCTGGAAGGTAAGTTTGAAATTTTAGTATGTTATAATCTGTAGGGGTGTGTGTGTGTGTGTGTGTGTGTGTGTGTGTGTGTGTGTCCAGCCATAATCCAAATTTGTGTTCCTAAAATTGAACTGGTATTTTTTTTTCAGGTTATATGTCTAAACAAGGAATATACAGATGTAAACAGAACTTGTTCTTTAACTGAACTATATAAAACATGAAAATACTAACAGTTGAGCCAGGCACAGTAGCACATGCCTATAATCCCAGCGGCTCAAGAGGCAGGAGGATCACAAGTTCAAAGACAGCCTCAGAAACTTAATCAGGCCCTAAGCAACATAACAAGGACCCTGGCTCAAAGGAAAAAATTAAAAGGCCTAGAGATGTGGCTCATTGGTTAAGTGTCTCTGGGTTTAATCTCTGGTACCATAAAAAGAAAGAAAAAACTAACAGTTGAAAATAAATTATGTGGGCTGGGGTTATGGCTCAGCAGTAGAGCACTTGCCTCACAAGTGCGGGACTCTGGGTTTGATCCTCAGCACCACATAAAAATAAATAAATGAAATAAAAATATTTTTAAAAAGAAAATAGATTATGTAAAAGTACTGGTTTTACATAGATTATCAAAGAAAAGGGAATAAAAGTAAGTTTTCACTTATCAGATAAAAATAATTATAATGACAGTGTGTGGTAGAATGTAACAACATAGTTAGTAGTACAAATTGGGGCACTTTTTTTTGGAAGGTAGCCTGAAAATATGTTTAAAATATAAAATGGAAATCTCAACTGCTTGGGAGGCTAAGGCAGGAGGATCACAAGTTTGAGGCTACCAGGACAATTTAGTGAAACTGTCTCAAAATGAAAAGGGCTGGGGATATATCTCAGAGATTGCTTCCATAGCATGTACAAGGTGCTAGGTTCAATCTCCACTACCAGAAAAAAAATACACATACACATATAATTGCACATATTTAAAGACATACATGTGTACGTGCGTGTGTGTGTGTATAATTTCTTTGATTCAGATATTTCCAAAAACAATGACAAGGGTATGTGTATGTGTGTGAACGTGTGAACATAGCTAAAAGATGTTTCAACATTATTAATAAAAGCCAAAATTGAAATTAATTTTCGTGTCTGCAAGTAGAGATTGTTTAAATCATGATACCTTTGCCCAGTGGGCTGTTTTGCTTCCAATACCAAAGGAAACCATGTTTTACAGAAATATTATACATCATATTATTTGAGATAAAAAAGTTACAGAACAGATTATATGCTCCCATGTGTGTACTTTTAATAAATATATGCATTAAAGTCTTAAAGAGATATACCAAATTAATATTATTTCTTATTGGTGGGATACAAGATTGTAAGAGAATTCTCCTTTTTAAAAAATATTTTAGTGGTTGTTAAATGCTTTATAACCAAAGTGTTTCTAATAATAATTTTTAAAAACAATAAAAATATTTCTTTTTGGAAAAAATAAATTAAATTCTCTAAAACTGGCCCATATTGCTATGGGGCATTCCAGAATGCTGAAGAATAGTGTTTTCTTTTCTCCTGGTTTTAAAACTTTTTGCTTCCAGCTTTTGTTTATGTTTTATGTTTTTTATTTATGTTTCTGTTTTTTTAAAGAAGAGTTTATTGGTTTGAAAACTTTAGAGGTTTATCCTGCATCTGCAATGGCATGCATACTTTTATTTTGAAGGTAAAGTAGCTAGCATTTTCAGGGGAAGATAATGCTTTCGGAACTTATACAACAAGTAGACCAGAGTAAAAACAATAGCATGTGGAAACCAGCTAAAAGCACAAAATTAAACATGAAACAACAGTAAAAATAAATAAGAGACGTGAAAATAATTGTGTCAAAAAATGGGAAAGGGTGTTTATTAATCAACAAAAGTGATGTTAAATATGCATTGTGAATTAAATGGAAATTGAAATTTAATTTCACTCTGTGTTCTATGAACAAGTGAAATGGACAATAAGTGGAAATAAATTGTTCAAGTTTATCTAAGAATTTAAGAATGTTTTATAAACACTCTGAGATGATTAAAAGCCTTTTATTTTGCCGGGTGCTGTGGCACATGCTTGCAGTCCCAGCAGCTCAGGAGGCTGAGACAGGAGGATTGAGAATTCAAAACCAGCCTCAGCAACAGCAAGGCACTAAACAACTCCGTGAGACCCTGTCTCTAAATAAAATACAAAATAGGATGTGGCTCAGTGGTTGAGTGTCCTTGAGTTCAATCCCAGTTACCCCCAAAATAATAATAAACGAATAAATAAAACTTTATTTTGACTAATGCAGTTGAAATAAAATAAATTTAATTAAAATAATTAAATTTTAATTATTTTCTCTTGCCATAGGATTTCTATTAATGGAGAAAGTCCAAAACATCGGTCCTGGCATACTTTAACACCAATAGCTGATGACAAACTTTTTCTATTTGGAGGACTAAGTGCAGATAATATTCCATTAAGTAAGTCAGTTAAAGTTAAGCATATAAACTATCCTCTCATTCCTTTTTCTTAATTTTATTTCATGCTTAAAGTGAAGTAAGTTTTCCTTTTTTTCTTTATCCCTAACTTCATGCTTGCATTGCATTAAGAATTGAAAAAAAAAGAGGCCAGGTGAGATAGCTCAGTGGTGGAGCATTTGCCTAGCATGTGTGAGGCACTGGGTTCAATCTTTAACACAAATAAAATAAAGTCATGCTATCCATCTACAGCTGAAAAAAATTTTTTTTAATTGGAAAGAGAAGCTCTCTGCTTCAATATCCTTGGATCTTCATGTACTACTTCTTCTTTTCTTAAGAAAAGAAGAAAAGGGTGAATCTAGCTGAATTAAAGCCCCTTACCACTGTAGTATTCTGTGATTCTGTGTCCTTCTGGGTTTTGATCCAGATGCTTATACTGTAGGCTGGAATGGAAATTAGAAGACCAGCCTTCCTAGAAGGCTCTGGGAATACAAAGTGGAAAGCCAGTTTTTTCTCTTATAAAGGAAAGTATTAACAGAATTTTGTTAACTCCTTTCACTGCTGATCCTAATAGCTATGGGTTTTGTAATTGTGTTTTTCTTTAAGCAGTAAAATTGTGGCATCAGGGTAGATGAGTGACCAAGAATATTCACCTCTTGGTTTGACGTGTTGGATGTATTGTATTTTCTTAACTCAGAAGTTTTCGATGGCTAAAAATGGTTTTATCAAGAAACCTATATAGGCTGGGGCTGGGGCTCAGTGACAGAGCACTTACCTAGCACATGTGAGGTATTGGATTCGATCCTTACCATTACATAAAAATAAATTAAATAAGGGCATTTTGTCCATCTACAACTACAAAAATACTAAAAAAAGAAACTTATGTAACACTAAAATAATTTGTATAATTTTATATGGAATCTGGAAACAACTATTTTTCAACAGGAGTTTTTCATATCAGTGATGCATTTATCGAGGAGTGTGGGCCACCTAATTTTAGAGCTGGTTGGAGAAATAACAGTTCCTGATAGGAGATGGTAATATTCTTGCAGTTTATTTTTTCTCCAATTTATGAGCTTTTTAATTAAAAGAAATTTGGAATATAATAAAAATTAAGATGTACATTTTGCAAGAGGTTGTTTAACATCGTTAACTTCACGAGATCTAAAGTTTTTAATTCCTATTTGCTATTATTGGTCATTGACTATGGGAAATTAAATATCTTAACTTTTAGTCTAGTTAGTTTCCTCTCTCATCAATTAAGTTTAAGATCTGATCATATGGATACCGAAGAATTATCTTCTGTTGACTGATAATGGCATTGTGTTTATGTAGAGTGTTCATTTTTTAAGCAATCATACTGAAGTGTGTTTGGGGAAAATGATAGGAGATATGGGATTTGATTTATTATGAATTCAACAATAAGAATAACAGAGATAAATGGAACCCATCTGGCAAAACAGTTTTTTTGATGGATTAATGCTGGGGATTGAACCCAGGGTTTTGCAGGTGATAATAGGTGCAAACACTACTTCTGAGCTACACCACCAGCTCAGAACCTTGATAGTTGTTGCATCTAGGAGGTAGATCACTCTACTTTTGTGTATGTTTGAAATATTTATGAAAACGATATGCACACATAGGAAAGATAATCATATAAATGTAACATGATAAATATGGAAAAAATTAAAATTGTATCCAAAGGACTAATTAAGCTGTCATAATATTTCAGGTGATGGTTGGATTCATAATACAATAACAAATTGTTGGAAACAACTTATACATTTACCTAACACAAGACCCAGGTAAGTCTAGTAGTTGACAAGTAGTAAAATAATTAAGAATTTTTAAAGTATTAAGATAAAGCACTGAATTTATACTGTTTGCCACTGAAATCATAAAACATTAGGAAAGATATCTTTCACATGAGCTTTATGTTATATAATTCAAATATCATTTTAATTATATCTGACTGTTAGAAATAATCTGTCTAGTTTTTATCCATATTTGCATATTTTAAAATGTTATTCTTTTAGGTAAATGTGTAATCTTGCCTGATAAATATGAAAAAGATAATTTAAAATATCTCATAATTTTAATATTTTAATGTTAATATTTTTAATCAGTAGATAGGAATAGGGTTGTCTTTAATAGTAGTAATTTGTTTTTAAAAGTTTAAAGAAATTTAATGAGGAAATTTGATTTCATATTGATCTAGTAGATGGCAAATTATTATTTTGATTACTGGTCTAATGTATTCATTAATGTGAATTTTTTTGAAAAAGAAAATGTTAGATATTTATAGTATATTATAATAAAAATTATAGGAACAGTATACTATTATTATATTAAAGAAATAACAGTAGTATTGTATTTCTTGTTTTTTCAAATTTGGTTGAATAGTATAATAAAAAATATCTTCATAGGAAATTCAGATTCAGCACATAATCATCACTGTAGTCAGTAACAAATTTTATGCCTTTCCATGTCATGTATTTCAGATTTTTTAACTATAGATGATTTATATTAGTGTGCAGTCAAATTAATGATATGTATTTTGTTATTTAATAAATGATAATTTTAAGTAACTTTTTTGAGATAAAGACTTAAAATATTTATATATATTTTGGTGTGTATATCTATGTTAATATTTACTATATATTTATAATCTATTAATATACTTGTAATCTATAACTTATATTTACATATTTGATTATTTTATTTTTATGTATAAAATTCATTGGAATTTATTATTTTAACAATTGTGGCTTTTTAAAAATATATTTGTTTAATTTAAAGAGTTTTATATTAAGATATGGGGACCCAGATTTCTAGTCCTTGCTCAGTTACTGCTTAGTTTTTTGGCTTTAAAAAGTCACTTAAAGAAGCTGAGCATCAATTTCTTCATCTGTGAAATAAAGGAGTTGGACTAGATAATCTCTAAGTTTCTCCTAATTTTTGATTTTATAAATATGTTAATTATAGACCAAAGTGGTAGTAAAAATGTTTAATTTTTAAATTGCTCCTATTTTATATTTCAATTTTTAATAATTAGAGCAACACAACTATTATCAATAATATACTAGTTAGAACTAGAGCTATGTAAAGAGATTTCTTTTGATTCAGTTGATGTGTCATGTAAATAATATGCTTTATTAGAATGTTTAGGTGATAAGTTTAGAGCAGCTGTGAGAGGACATAAACTATCAGTCTATAGAAAAAACATCAGGTTCCAAGCTAGATGTCACCAAAATCAAGGCAGGAAAGGCTTTCCAGTGTTCTTCGATGATGAAATCCAGGCCAGAGTTTCCATAAGGCAGATAAGACAGAGGCAGATCTATCTTCAGGTATGAGGTGAGGAGGAGAACAGGTGGGATACAGTTGAGTGTAAGGAGAACATATATATATATTTGTGTGTGTGTGTGTTTACTAATTTTTATGAAAGTGACAATTAACATCTAAATGCATTTTGTGCAAACTTTTCCAAGATATAATTTGAAATGTAAGCTGCCCTATTATCCTCTTAGAACTCTGAGACAGGGCTTCTTCATCTTAGCATTATTGACATTTTGAACCAAATAATTGGTTCAGAAATTGTTGTTAGGGGTGTCCTGTACATTGCAAGATGATTAACAGCATCCTTAGCTTTTACCCACTAGATGTGAGTAGCACTGCCTTCTTTCTCCCCAAGTGGTGATAACCAAAAATATCTACAGGTGTTGTCAAAAGTCTCCTTGGGGGACAGATTACCCCTGGTTGAGAACCACTGTTCTACAGTATAACACTATTTTCAGGCCTTACCTTAGATAAAACTATGCCTGGTTCAAAGACCATCTGTTAATCCATACCTAATAACCCATATAAGTGGTTGTCAGCAAAGAACCTTTTTTATGTGTCTGTAAAAGATACGAGATAAAGTGTTGATGTAGAGAGCCAAAAGCTCCGCTGGATCCCATGATATTGCCAAGGCCATTATATACATAGCTGTCTCTTTAGGAAATTAATCTATTCCTTTCCTTATACGGGGCATTCATTATATTCCATTTCTTTCACCTAATCCCTCTTCTAATCCTCCCCAAACCCACAACATAATTTGGGTTCTTGTTGAGAATTTATGCCAATTTGCATTCTAACATATAATTTGGAGAACTGAGCAAGTATTTCCAAAAGAACATATCTAATAACTTGATTTGTCCTGGGTCCCAAGTGCATTTGTCATTGGCTGTGGCATGATTGAGGAAAATAAGTGGCTTAACAAATTGTACATACTCCTACTGTTTGCACGTGCAGAATTTAAGTAAAAGGGACTAATGTGCTAAAAAATAAGTGATGTGGTAATAAAAGAAATGACAATATATAATTGTTTTTGGTATCTATTACTCTAGCAATTTGGTCTATTAAGAAAAGTAATAAGGACTGGGGATATAGCTCAGTTAGTAGAGTACTTGCCTTGCATGCACAAGGCCATGTGTTCAATCCCCAGCACCACCACCAAAAAAAAGAAAAAAAAAAAAAGTAATGAGTCAAAGCAATGATTTTGTAAAATCCTTAGTTTCTCATGTGAAATTGAGAATCTGCATGTACTTTGAGATTTTTGAGAGGTAGAGCTTTTGGAAATTATGAACTTTATAAATAAACTATAAAATTTTTCTTGGTAAATAATGTAAAATTGGAGATGGACATGAGCTATCAGAACATTTACAAAAGAACATTAATTGCTCTACTCCTTTATGAAATAATTTGCATATTTAATCATTGAATAAATTATATCAGTATTTTATGTTTGCTTTTGCTAATTAAGATTTTTTTTAGCACCAACTGGGTACAGAATACCATATTTTTTTAAAGAAGCATAAAATTAGCATACCCAAGTTTCAGTGGTTTGCTGGCATACAGTTACAACTACTCTCAAAGTTGAGGCACCTAATGTATAGCCTTTGCTGATTACTACAGGTGTAAATACTCCCTTTATAGCTGATTTCAAGATATTAAAATTATTCTAAGCTGGATGAAGATATGCACAATTGGTTCACCTAGCCAGTGAGCCTGTTTCAATATACCACTGTGGCAATTTCTGACCTCACAGACCTCATGGTCTTTTTAGGGAGCTGGAAGACAATTAAAGTAGTATATAGAGCAATTAATCTTCAAATGTGAGTTAGTAGAGCACAAAATAAACATGTAAATGTTGAAAGATGCTGATCAGAAATGGCAGCAAAACCAGTTAGATGGATTATTTAAAACACTTCCTTCATGTTGAGCCTGTTTTTTTAAGGCCCAGAGAAAATGACTTATTCTAGGCCTAAGAAAAAGGGCAAACAACAGCTGGGGATATAGCTCAGTTGGTAGAGGGCTTGTGTACAAAGTCCCTGGGTTCAATCCCCAGCACCACAAAAGAAAAAAAAAGGGGGGGGGATGGGGGCGGGCGGCAAACAAAAGCCTGGAAGTGAATATAAGTTTTTTCCTTAGGGTAAGCAAGGAAGCAGAGTTGGTTGAAATAGAGGACTCACTGGGGAGAGGCAAGAATTAACATTTGGGGGAAAAAGAAATAATGACTGATCATAAAATATTAGGCTAGAAAAAAGAGTTGGCAGCACAGATGCTTCCTAATCAGGAAATTCCCATACTAACTGTATTTTACACAATTTACAAGACATTTCAAAATAACTAGAAGAGTCTGAAGTTTCCTAACACATAGAAATTATAAATGTTTGAGGAGATAGAAATGTTAATTATCCTTATTTGATCACTACACATTGTGTACATATATTGAATTATTGTACTATATCTCATAAATATGTACAAATATGAGTCAATAAAATTCTTAATGGTCAGATAGTAAAAAAGTATTTGAAAAGTATTATTTATTAGATATATGTAGCTAGGGAGATTAGAGATAAAAAAAATAAGGAACACATGGTATTCTGTACCCAGAGTGATGAATAATTTTGACAATAGAAATGTGAAGAGAGTAGCGCATTGGATTTGTCAGGTGATGTGAATAAGCAGAAAAGAAAGAGGCAAAAGTAATGAGAACAGTAACATGGCAGATGTTAATAAGAGAATTGGGAAAGGTGCCTCTGTCAGCAATAAGGGGGTCAGTTCCTTCTTAATTTATTGTATTTTAAGGATAATATGTATGAGAGAAAAGGGTTAAAAAAAAAAGGTTGGGGGATATAATAGAAAGAGTTATTGGGAATCACCTCCTTAATCAAAATGATGCAATTTAAAGAACTCTAGAAAAATCTTTAAAATCTAACCCCTTTGAAGATATGCCAAAGGTTCAAGTTCAGTCATGCCTGTTTTAAAATGGATTAATTTTAGAGTATACAGTTTATAATTGACTTTATGTAACGTACAGTTTCTTCCTTGACAGTATTTCACCCTGTTTATAATTTTCAATTTTAGGTTATGGCACACAGCCTGTTTGGGAAAAGAAAACGAAATAATGGTGTTTGGTGGGAGCAAAGATGATCTACTTTCCTTGGATACAGTAAGAAATCTTACATCTAAATATTTCCTCTGGAATTATGTTATTCAAAATAAATAACTACCCAACAAGAATATTGTTATTCTAATACTGCAAAATATAAAATGTTACTCTGTGGGGTTATTAATCCTAAGAATGAGTGGCTTTTGTAAAACATTTCAGGAGTTTTTGGATTTAGAAATCCAAATAGGGGGTCTGTGTTATGGGGTTGTGGCTCAGTGGTAGAGTGCTCACCTAGCATGTGCGAGGCCCTGGTTCAATCCTCAGTACCACATAAAAATAAATAAATAAAATAAAGGTATTGTGTCCAACTGCAACTAAAAAATAAAATATAAAAAAAAAAGAAATCCAAATAGGTCTATTAATTTCATTAGTTATTACAAAGAGCTTTTTTCTTTGAGTCTTTTCTTTTTTTCTTTGAGCAAGACCCTGTCTCAAAATGAAAACTAACGAAAGGACTGCTGGGGATGTAGATCAGTAGTAGGACACCCTTAGATTTTACCACCAGAAATGAAATTAATTACTTAAAATATTAAAACCACAATTTTGTACTTATATAGCAAAATTTTTGCCTAGCTTGTACAAAGCCTTGGGTTTGATACTCAAGACCACAAAAGAAAGGGGAGGGGCAAATTTATATTTTGTCTTTTCTTTTTTGTCACTAGAAATCTTCTTTTCTTTTAGATGACAAAGTTTAAATTATAACTAAAATCTGGATCACAAATTATGAAATTCTAAAGATCTATTTGAAAGGATTTATAGAAATTTTCTGTTGACCCTTCTACCATATTAACTTTTAGATGAAAGACTCATTATTCAAAAAATCTTCAGGATCTTAATTTTTTTAAAATTTTTTTTAGTTGTCAATGGATCTTTATTATTTTTTTTTTATATGTGGTGCTGAGAATTGAACCCACTGCCTCACACATGCTAGGCAAGCTCTGAGCTACAACCCCAGCTGCTTAATTTTTAAATTAATAATTCTCAGGAAGGGAGCTAAAGGGTTTAGTTCAGTGGTACAGCACTTATCTAGCATATGCAAGGGCCCTGGGTTTGATCCCTAGCACCACAAAGTAACTATCTTGAAAAGAGAGATAGAATAAAGAAGAGTTTTGCTTTTTTGTTTGTTTGTTTTTTATGTGTGTGTGGTCTGGGAATTGAACCTAGGCCCTTGGGCATGCTAGGCAAACACTCTACCCCGAGCCACATCCTCAACCCTAAAGCAGAGATTTTTAAAATAAGAGAAATTTGAAGAAAATGCTTTTGTTAAAAAAAAGTGTTTATAAACCACTACTTCTGAAACTTTTTAACTCACTATTCTCAGAAAAGAACATATTTCTGATTTTTAAGTTTGCAATTATAAGCTATTGATTAGGTAGAATTTTGGCCACTGAAGTTTGGTAACCACATACCCAAAGTTTGTGCATAGCAGGTGTATGTGTACATATGTGTATATTTGTGGGTATCCTTGTTTGCGTGCATGCATATGTATATGTGTTATCAGTCAGAGATTTATTTGCTGCTTTATGCTATGTTTTTACATGTGTAAAATACAATAAAGCATTATATTATTAACTCAATGTTATTTTTATAAAAATCCCTGATAAGACCTTTCTTATGTTTTAGGGTCACTGTAATGATTTATTGATCTTTCAAACACAGCCTTATTCACTACTCAGGTAAGCAAATCCAGTATTTTTATATATACATGCTAGGAATGTATCATTTCCTTTTTCCTCCTTTTTGGGAAGAGATATATTTTTCAGGTAGTTTGTATGACTTGAACCTAAGAAAATATTTGTCTTTTTAATAGTAAAATCAAATTTATGTTGGTAAATCATATACCAGTGTTATTATTTTTAATTATAATAAACAGCGAGGCATCGTGGTTCATACCTGTAATCCCAGAAGCTCAAGAGCTTGAGTCACAAGAATCATAAGTTCAAGGACAGCCTTAGCAATTTAGCAAGGCTCTAACAACTTAGTGAGACCCTGTCTCAAAATAAAAAACAAAAAGGA